CCCCAAAACCCCAAAACCCCAAAACCCCGTATATATAATACCTGGTTGACAACAAAATAATAAAAAAATGAACGGGTTTGTCAGCTCTTCCTCTGAAGAGAACCTCTCTGAAGATATTCTTAGTGAGAATGCGTCCACTGGAGAAATAAAAACAAGTATGAGGCTCACTGAAAATATGGGCAAATCTTCTTTCTCTAAAAAGGAGATTAGTTCCTTTAATGATGATTTTGGGCGACCAATTTCGCATCCAATGAGTTTGAAGAAATCTCAGATCTTGGAGGAGGAAGGAACTAGAAGAAATTCTTGCATATAGCAAAGGATGGATCTCGCCTCAGTCTTGAAACAAATAAAGAAGAGGAGAAAAAGCTTCCATGTATAAGGCAGAGTTCCTTGAAGGCTGACATAAGCAGTCTTCTTCAGAAGTCGATTCAAATTAGGAAGAAAAAGAGCCACTTTGCCAAGATGAAACAGACAGCAAATACTCCTTTGAAGGAAGTAGGATTTACTGGAAGAGGTCCGATTGAAGGGGGATCATATACTTTCGGTATTAAGAAGGGAATAAATTAATTGGTCAACTAAACAAAGTTCAAAAAATTCTTTAGCTCATTTACTAGCCAAAATTTGTGGTATAAGACCATGCTAATTGGGATCTGATTTGAAGTCTGCTTGTAATAGATGAGCTAGTCCAAAGACTTTTTTATAATTCTAATTTATAAAATTAATCATATCTTTAAAAGTGGTGAGATAGCAAGCTCTAATCGTCAGTCTTTTCATAATCTGTTCTGATTAACCCATTTATGTTCACAGGATTTTAGGACTTATTGAGTTGTTTGGGATAGGTACAAGATATTCTAATTTCTCTAACTTAATTTCTTCATTCCATGTTTACACCATGAACTTTATTGTTAAAGTTACTAAAGCTTCTACTATATTATTTTCGATGAATATTTCAATTAAATTTTGTGTTGATAAGAGAAATGGTTAAAAGCCCTTTGAAATATTCAGAGTAGCCTTTTAACAGAAGATTTTTAAGTTTCATACGCCTTCTTTCTCTCTTTTCTGACTACAATAGAAAATTTGAAGGAATTAGATTTTCAGTTGCTTACATAGAAGGCATTTCTGAAGTGTCCAATGTAATGAAGGCTCTGGAAAAAGAAATACTTTAGCTCTTTAATATTTCAATAGCCTTTTAAGTTCTTAATTGATTTCATCAGAAAATGCTAGTTTAGCTTACTTTGTAATAATGGTTATGTAGTTAGCTAAAATATGAATTTGCTGAAAATTTATCAGAAAAGGTATAGTAAGTCATAAGAGTTATTTCAATTATGAAGTAACCATAGTAACTTCTTAAAAATCTCGTTTGATGCTTAATCTTAGAGCAGGAAAATTCAGGTATACAAGTGACTTCTTGATTAGTAAATTAATAGTTAGTTCAAATACCGTTTTTCCTCTTGTTGAGCTCAGTCTTCAATTATGGAATTATGAATGATAAACAGTTCTAGAGAAAGTAATTTTAGGAGAATAAATTAGTTAATTGCTAGCATCTAAAATTTCATATTCTTCTTCTTTCTTTTTTTCAAAATATTATAGAAAGACACTTATCAAGAAATTAAAATTGTTGCTTATATTTCTCTCAAGTTTATTGCTGGAAAACAATTCAAATTTACTTAAGTTATTTAGGGTAATCATAGATACTTTCATTCTATCATTAGAACCAAATACTCAAATTGTGCCGATAATATTACTCCTCGATTCACCAAAGCTTTTTCTAAACAACAATTACAAAATACCATATTTCCTACTAAAGCCATGGAATAATGATAAAAATCTCCCTCAATCTTATTTTCTCAAGGACAATACTCAGTTCCAACAACCCCAGGCAAATATGAAGAGCTTTAAGTCATCGTTCCATCCATATTTGATCCTCACCTAGGAAATAATATATTGGGGTTTTGGGGTTTTGGGGTTTTGGGGTTTTGGGG